GCATTCGGATCTGGCTGAAGAGCCCATGAGAGTATTTTAGGCATGGAAAGCCAAGACACTCTGGCCAAAAAAAAAAAAGAAAAGAAAAGAAAAGAAAAAAAACAACCTAAATGAAAGATCTCTGCGAGTGAGATCCTAGTGGAAAGAACGGGGCCATCAAAGAAGGAGGTACCTTTCTCTGAAGGGAGGAGAGAACTTCCACTTTGGCTATGACCCTGTCTGAATAAGATCGAAGTTGGCGAACTCAAAAGGCTTCCATAGCCTTGGCAACTCATGACTAGAGCCTAGGGAGATTACTGATGCCATAAACAAGAGTGTCAAATTGTTAAGTCAACAACAGGAGTCACTGTGTACTTACTCCTCATGTGGGATCTGCCCTTAATGTGTTTTCCAATGTGAAGTAATGCTATAACTAGTACTGAAACAGTATTTTACACTTTGTGTTTCTGTGTGGGTGCAAACTGATGAAATCTTTACTTAATATATACTAAATCGATCTTCTGTATATAAAGGTAATTGAAAATGAATCTTGATGCGAATGGAATGGGAGAGGGAGCGGGAGATGGGAGGGGTGCAAGTGGGAGGGAAGTTGGGGGCGGGAGTCATTGTAATCCATAAACTGTACTTTGGAAATTTATATTTACTAAATAAAAGTTTAAAAAAAATGGAAAAATGTTCATAGATTGGAAGAATCAACATCATCAAAATATCCATTCTACCAAAAGCAATTTACAGATTCAATGCAATCCCAATCAAAATACCAATGATATTCTTTGCAGATCTAGAAAAAAATGATGCTAGAATACAAATGAAAACACAAGAGACCCCGAAGAGCTAAAGCAATCTTATACAACAAAAACAAATCCAGAGGCATCACAATATCTGATTTCAAGTCATACTACAGGGCAGTTATAATCAAAACAGCCTGGTACTGGCACAAAAACAGACTTGTAGACCAATGGAACAGAATACAAACTCCAGAAATTAATCCTTGCATCTATAACCTACTTATCTCTGACAAAGAAGCTAAAATCAATCCCTGTAGCGAGGACACTCTTTTTAACAAATGGTCCTGAGAAACTGGATCTCCATGTGCAAAAATATGAAACTAGACCCCTACCTTACACCTTACACAAAAATCCACCCAAAATGGATCAAAGACCTAAATCTACGATCTGATGCCATCAAATCATTAGCGAACACTAGGAATTGGCATAGGCAAAGACTTCTTGGAAAAGATCCCAGAAGCACAAGCAATCAAAGCCAAAATTGACAAATGGGATTACATCAAGCTGAGAAACTTCTGCACTGCAAAAGAAACACTCAGCAAAGTGAAGAGGCAACCAACAGGATGGGAGAAAATATTTGCAAACTATGCAAATGATAAAGGATTAACATTCAGAATCTATAAGGAACTCAAGAAATTCAACAACAACCAAACAAACAATTCAGTTAAGAAATGGGCAAAGAACTTAAACAGGCATTTTTCAAGAGATGAAATTCAAATGGCCAACAGACACTTGGGAAAACGCTCAAGATCGCTAGACATCAGGGAAATGCAAATTAAATCCACAATGAGTTTCACCTCACTCCAGTTAGAATGGTCCACATATAGAAATCAACAAACAACAGATGCTGGCAAGGATGCAGGGAAAAAGATACACTGGATGGGGCCAGCACTGTGGTGCAGTGAGTAAAACTGCTGCCTGCAGTACCGGCAACCCACATGGGAGCCAGTTCAAGTCTCGGCAGCTCCACTTTTGACCCAGCTCTATGCTATGGCCTGGGAAAGCAGTGCAGGATGTCCCAAGTCCTTGGGGCCCTGCATCCACGTGGGAGACCCAGAGGAAGCTCCTGGCTCCTGATCGGCATAGCTCCAGCAGTTGTGGCCATTGGGGGAGTGAACTAGCAGATGGAAGACCTCTCTCTTTCTCTGCCTCTGCCTCTCTGTAACTCTGGCCTTTCAAATAAATAAATAAAAATCTTAAAAAAAAAAAAAAAAAAGGTACACTGGTACATTGTTAGTGTGAATGTAAACTGGCACAACCACTGTGGAAGACAGTATGGAAATACCTCAGAAATCTGAATATAGACCTACCATGCAATCCAGCCATCCCACTCCTGGGAACTTACCCAAACCAAAAGAAATCAGTTTATGAAATAGTTATCTGTACCCCCGTGTTCATTGCAGCACAACTCACAATAGCTAAAATACGGAATCAACTCAGATGTCCATGAACTGTTGACTGGATAAGGAAATTATGGTGTATATACACTATGGAGTACTACTCAGCTTTAAAAACAAAAAATGAACTGTCTTTTGTACAAGATGGTCACAACTGGAAACCATTATACTTAGTAAAATAAGCCAGTCGCAACTGGATACCATTATACTTAGTAAAATAAGCCAGTCCCCAAAAGAAGATATCATGTTTTCCCTAATCCGGGGTAACTAATAGAGTATCTGAAATATAATGTATTGGAGTGAAACAGACATTTTGAGAATCAATGATTGTTTATAACCTTTGTCTCTTTTATTGAGGAACAATTTTATTTTGTTTTCTCTTCATACTATTTGTTGAACTCTCTTACTTAGGGTAGGGTTTACTATACGATAGATTATTGTAAAAATAGAGATTGGGAATCTGACAGGGAGAGGAGATTGGAGCGTGGGTGGGAAAGGAGGGGAGGAGAGTGCCACTATGTTTCTAAAATGATATAAAGGAAATATATGAAACTTGTATAACTTAAATAATATATACAAAATTTTAAAAGAAAAAAAAAGAGTCATTGGGTTCCAGCCACCTATAGAAGACTTGGACTGAGTTCCTAGCTCCCGGCCTGGGGACAACCCAGTCCTAGCTATTACAGACATTTGGGGAGTGAAAGAGCAGCTGGAAGCAGTCTCTTTCTCTCTCCACATGCACCTATCCCCACTGCCACCTGTCATGTAAATTTAAAAAAAAAAAAAAAAGTTTCTCCTATTTAAAGGGCTATAAAAAATAGGAAAGGAAATTCATATATCCCATAAGAAGTGTCTAAAAGTGAAGCTAAAGTTAGGGAAGGGTGACTACCTGGTTACATACATAAGAAGAATTCCAACAGAGTAAATGTACACTAAACAGTTTCCTAGGCAATGTCCTAAGTCACCTGGAAAACGCTGAGCTGAACAGCTGTCATCAGATTGCTGAGCAAAGGTGGGAGCTAGAACCATCACTCTCCCCAGCTTACAGGGAGAGCCCAGAGTCCCAGCGAACAGGCTTCCAGCTGTTAAAGGTCATCACCCATAAGGAGGAGAGAGGAAGACTGTGGAATTGAAAGGACACACAAGTCTATTTTCCAAGTAGGGCCTTAAAATGAGGTAACTAGCTTCCATCTCATGCTCCCACACCAAAACAATGGACATCCCTGCTATTGGCTCATTAATGAGTCTTCTGCCGTTCCTCCTGGTGTCTGGGCACCTGTCTCTCACCAAACACTCTTTCCTCATTCTACTCAGCAGAAAATCTTACCTCTCTCTGCGAACATATTTTCCAAAATATTTGCTTAGCTGTTCTTTTATTGACATTACGGAACTCGGTAGTGAACCAAGGTAATCACCCGTAACAAAAAATAAAAGTTCCAGGTTAACAAACTTCAGAATAAGCTTTCTTCCCTCAAAATCTGAAATCAACTTTAGTTATACCTGTTACCGAAAGGACACACATACAGAAACTAAATTCTACAGATACCTTGAATCAATTCTCAGTAATTTTTATTTTTAAGATGGTTTCTCTTTAGTTCTTACTATACAAAGAAAAGTGTATTCTATTCTAATTAAAGCTACAAACAAGTTTTGGATTATCCATTACTTCTAATAACCCATTATGATAATGAAGGAATAAATGTTAACAGTTAAGTGCCCAGTACACCAGTACAGAGTCAAGCCCACAGTAAGCCAACTATTAATAAACAGCAAGTATTGCTATTCCTTGTCAATCAAAGATCTGTAAACAAACACTGTAAGGTATTATGGCAGTGATAAAAAGAGGAAGCTATATAAATCTTCACTATGAGAGGTTAATCCTCACTTAGAATTATAAATTTACATTCTGAAGCTAGACCTAGAGCTAGACACTTTCACTAAGCTACAAACACCCACCCCTGGCCTCAGCACAGGCACACAAACACAGCTGGAACCTCAGCAATCCCATTTCTACAACACAGTGAGGCCTCTGGCCTCCAGGCATTGGCCCACAAGAGGATACCTGACCACGGTCTGTCAATCAGAATCTCTTCCTGAAATTAGGAACCAAAATGCACAATCAGCAGGTCAGTCCATGTAACCAATGAAACTAGTAGAGCTAGTGGAGCTGTCATTTTTCTATCCTCTATACATAAACAGAGAAACCTGGTCTGCTGAGAAAAAATCACACCTCAGAGAAGCAGCAGAAGTAAGTGATCCTACCACCCCAGGTATCTTCTGTGAGTCCTCTGTTTTCCAATTTCTGAGTTGAGTCCTGTAAGAGACCTGATCACATTCTGTCCCTTTTTTTCTTTGAAAGGCCCCCATGTCTGACGGTAAACTCTCTTCTGCTTAAGCTCGTAGGAAGTAGGTTTCTATTACTTATCACCTTGAGACAAAAAGGCTAAGGTAGGTCTATGTTCATCTTTCTCTGTAACAAAGATTAGGGGATGGGGTGGGAAGCAAAGTGTCATAAAGCAGCTCTTGACTCAACTATGAATAACTTATTACCGAATCTCAAAGACCAGGGATTCCATGGTCACAGAAACCTGTCTCCGTTTCTCCTGCACACTGTCAGCTACCTCTATAGTAGTAGAGTATATATTACTAGTATATATAGAGTAGTATAGTATATATAGTGTATAGTCACTAAAAGACCTCAGCGATGACCTGCCTTGACTGAGGTCATATCAAAGAACTAACCTTAGCCAGCAGAACCCCTATACCAGTCACAAAGGAGTCAAACCAACTAACACGCCAGAAAGGCTGCACATACCTGGACTATGTCCCAGTTCATTTCCACCTCCTCTTTAATACTGTTGGCATTTGCTGGAAACTTGACAGGCTGCCCCTGAGGACACATTTCAGTCTTCATTTTCTTTAAAGGGGACTGACCAAATGTAAAGTCATCTTCATTCTCTTCCTTCTTGCATGTACCTTCCCACATGGTGCTTGTTGATGGGGTCTCTGTACTGTGATCCCCACCCTCTAAGTTGCTGACTTTGTTGATTTTTTCCACTTTCAATTTTTTGGTCCTTTGAGCTGAATTCTTCTGTTTTGTCTTTGCTGTTTTCAGAGTCTGTACAGTTTCCAATTTATTTTTTCTGTCTTCTAAATTAACATCAGCAATAGCCACAGAATTATTCTGTCAAACCACAAAGAGAACACATGAGAATTAGAAAATAAAAACCAATCACCCTGGAATATTACTCAGAAGTAAAAAGGAACAACTTAATAATATACACAATGACTTGGAAGGATCGCCAGGGAATTATTTTGAATGGAGAAAAAGCCAATCTCAAAGTTACATGCTATATGTTACATTTATATAATGTTTCTGAACAGTTCAGTCTTTGCCAGGAGTCAGAAGGGGACAGAGAAGGGGGTACAAGGGAGGCATGTGGCTACAAAAGGGCACCAGCATGGACCCTTGCTGTGATTAAACTGTTCTACTGGGATGCGTACACAAAAGTACACATGTAGTAACACTGCTTAGAACTGTATACACACACATATACACATAAATAGAAACAAGTAAAACAGAAGAAATCAAAGTAAGATCAGTGGATTTTACCAATGCTGTGATACTGAATTACAGTTTGGCAAGATATTATCACTGGGAGAAACTGGAAAAAGGGCACATGGAATCCTTCTGTATTATTTCTTACAACTGCACATAAATTATTTATAAATTCAAAGTTTAATTTTTAAAAAATAAATGGGGGCCAGCATTGTGGCATAGCAGTAAAGCCATTGCCTGAAAAACCAGCACCCCATTATGGGCTCTGGTTCATGTCCAGGCTGCTCCACTTCCAATCCAGCTCCCTGCTAATGGCCTGGGAAAGGCAGTGGAAGATGGTCCAAGTGCATGGACCTGCCACCCATGTGGGAGACCTAGATGAAGCTGGTGGCTCCTGGCTTCAGCCTGCCCCAAGCCCGGACACTGTGGCCTTTTGGGGAGTGAACCGTGGATGGAAGATCTCTCTTTCTCTCTCTTTCAAATAAATAAGTAAAACTTTTAAAAAAATGAAAGTTAGGTCTATAAGACAGAAAGCAAAGATTAAAGTTTATAAACACAGTCAACACTTAGGGAGAGAACAGTAACATTTACACTCTCATTAAACCAATAGGCTACCTGCCTATCAAGTTATACAAAAGGATGGAGGACAGAAAACACAGAATGATAGTAGGACACTGTCAGACATTTGTCTTTTCTTTTTCTTTAAAACTGTTTTATTTATCTGAAGGCAGAGTTCTGGCTCACTCCTCAAATGGCTGCAATGGCCAGAGCTGGGTCAGTCCAAAGCCAAGAGCCAGAGCTGCTTCCAAGTCTCCCACGTAGTTGCAGGGGCCTAAGGACTTGGGTCATCCTCTACTAATTTCCCAGGCATGTTAACAGGGAGCTGGATCAGAAGTGGAGCAGCTGGGACTTGAACTGGTACCCATATGGGATGTTCGTGTCACAAGCAGAAGGTTTTCCCAGTATGCCACAGTGCCGGCACCAGGCATTTGTCTTTAATAAGAATTCACAAAGTAGCCCACATACGTCCCAGGCCTACTCTCTGAACCACCCCTGTCTCCAACTCAAATGATGTTCAGGTGTGAAGGAATGACTCTTGGCACTGGGAGTAGAGTAGAGAATAAGATAAAGATCCTGCCTTTAAAGGGATTCTCATTTCCCAAGGTCTGGTTATCTAAGTGATACAGAGGGCATAAAAATAAACAACTCTCAAACTAAAGTTTAGCCAAAATTCAGTCTCTTCCCTTATCAAACATTTTTTCCAGAATTATTATTAAAAATTTTGGGTACAGCAGCATAAGCCACTGTTTGCAATGCAAGCATCCCATATCAGAATGCCAGCCGGAGTTCTAGATGCTCTAATTCCCACCCAGCTCCCTGCTAATGTGCCTGGAAAAGCAGAAGAGGATAGCGCAAGTGAATGGCGCCCTTTGACTCACATGGGAGACCTGGATGGAGTTCAGGTCATGGATTCAGCCTGGACCAGCCCCAGCCATTTGGAGAGTGAACCAAGAGATGGAAGATCTCTTTCTCTCTCTGTCACTTTGCCTTTCAAATAAATAAGTAAATCTTTAATAAATAAGTAAAAATATTAGGAATAACAAAAACAGCATTTCCAACCCAATGCTTGCCTACTAACTACCAAGTCTGAACTTGAATATGATGTACATTAACAGGCCTCTGAGTATTAGATTTTTTATCCAAAACATGAGGGATCAGAGCAGAGATATGAAGATAGCATGACTCTCAGGCTTGTAAGAGCTGATAATAACTTAATCAAATGAATTGACATGAAGAATGTGTCAACAGTGGAACTGTCAGACACAGAAGTAGAAAAAGGACAACTGCAGAAAGCAAACATAATCAGCATTCTGAGTAATGTACTACAGATAGGAAAGCTTAGCAAATAGATTGTGAGTATTTTGGTCCAATGATAAGACAGTACTCCAGTGAGGTAGATAACTTCAGTCCAACTTAGGTTCACACAATTAAAACATTCAGTTGTGAGGCTGGCACTGTGGCATAGTGGGCTAAGCATACATCTGTGCTGCCGGCATCCTATATGGGTGCTGGTTCGAGTCCCGGCTACTCCTCTTCCGATCCAGCTCCCTGCTATGGCCTGGGAAAGCAGAGGAAGATGGCCTGGGTACTTGGGCCCCTGTACCCGCATGGGAGACCTGGAAGAAGCACCTGGTATGCAGTCATTTGGGGAGTGCACCAGCATCTAGATGGAAGACCTTTCTCTCTGTCTTTCTGACTCTCTGTAACTCTACTTCTCAAATAAATAAATAAAATCTTAAAAAAAAAAAAAGGGATATGCCATTTGTCCAATTAAAAAAAAAAAAAACAAAACACTCAATTGTATGGGGCAGGCATGTGGCACAGCAGGTTGAGCTGCTACTTGGGATGCCTGCACTCCATACAGGAGTGCCAGTTTAATTCCTGGCACCTCTGCTCCAATCCAGCTTCCAGCTAATGTGCCTAGGAAGGCACTGGATAATAGCCCAAGTACTTTGGATCCTGCCACTGAAATGGGAGATCCAGATAGTGTTTCTGACTCCCGGTTTCCGTCTGGCCGAACTCCAGTTATTACGGGCATTTGGGGAGTAAACCAGATCGATCTCTCTCTCTCCCAACTCCAGTTATTACGGGCATTTGGGGAGTAAACCAGATCTGTGTGTGTGTGTGTGTGTGTGCGCGTGTGCGTGTCTCACTCTGCCTTTCAAATAAATAAATCTTTTCTAAAAAAAATTCAATTGTTGGAGCCAGCATTGTGGTACAGCTAGTTAAGCTGCTGTCTGCAACATAGGTAGCCCATATGGGCACTGGCTCAAGTCCCAGCTACTCCACCTTCAATCTAGCTCCTGCTAACATGCCTGGGAGAGCAGCAGAAGATGGCCAAAGTCCTTGGGCCCCTACACCCATGTGGTAGACCCAGATGGAGTTCTAAGATCCTGGCGTTGGCCTGGCCCAACCCTGGCCTTTGCAGCCATCTAGGGAATGAACCAGAAGATGGAAGATCTCTCTCTCTCTCTTTCTCTCTATCTCACACAGTCTCTCCGTAACTCTGCCTTTCAAACAAAACAAATATTTTTTAAAAGAAAATTCAATTGTCACTGTTACAAATACAGTGCCAAGACCACAGCAGGCACTCAATAAATCCAAATGAATGAATGAATGAATCATCATGCAAATTTCTGATTATTATGTAATCCCCACTTAGTCCAGCCTCCAAGGAGAAATACTGCTAGCAATAAGAATTTCAAGTCCTTGTGATGATTATTTCACAGTATTAATTTTTAAAGGAGCTCTTTGGTTGCTCTTGTGAGCACTACTGATGCAAAAACACCCACGAGAAATATACTGGTTCCTGAAATGCTGACAAAATCACATTCCTAACTTAAAAACCCAGTCTCATCACTTAATATTTATGTACCATGAGCAAGTCACTTTGTTTTACCTAGCTTCCTCATCTAAAAGAATCAGATAACAACAACAATCGCTTCAACAGTTGTTGGAAGGATTAAATAAGATCATGCAGGTCAAAAGTTGACCAATTATGTTGCCTATGTAAAAATAAGCACTCACATATTTGCAAATAGCCAAATCATTACCATCACCTAGGAAAGGAAATGTGAAGCAGACCAAGAAACACAGTGCATCTGATGGTAAACAGTATTAAGACCCATGGCAGGGTATATCACTGTCTGGCATGTTTTGCTATTTATATCTTTGTCCTACTTTAAGATCTCCCTAAAGGCAAAAACCTGATTGGATGACTTCTTGGCAAAGGAGAAGCATAATTCTAGGACAGAATCTAAGTCAAGCCACTGACATTCTCAAAGTGAGCTCTCTTCAGAGGTGGATGCTAAACTCCAGAGTAAACAAATACTGAACAGAAAATCATTAGAATAACCTAAAACACAAGAGCAGGAGAAAGCAGTATCACCAGTCAGGAAAGCAGGCCAGCACTCCCTCTCTGTGCAGCTTCAGCACCTACCAGCTCCTCTTTAACAGCCACAGCTTCTGAGCTGTCACTGACCACTTGGGTGTTCTTCTTCCCCCGAGGCACCCTCTTTGGTTTGGGTTCCTTGGGAGCGGGCTGCTTACGGACTCTGGGGGCTTTCTTCTGGGGCTCCCAGATGCTATCTTCCTTGTCATCTTCTTCAGAGGCAGACGATCTAGGGGTAAGTTAAAAGAAGAATTTCTAGTTAAAAGGAAACCAAATGTCAAAGATAAAAAGAGACACATGCTTCTTGAAAAAACAATAAAGTAGGAAATGTTTAATATGAAGCATAGTGATCTGTGAACAGGCTGTGAACAGTAATTGCTAAGAACTGAAACAACAGAATTGATCAGGGATCAGGGATCAACATAAAAATATTCCCCAATATGCTATATATCACAGGATTCTCTTCTCACCTAATGGACACACATATATGCATACTTTCAAGACATAGGAACTCACTTATTAAGTAATTTACTAGGCCATGTCACATCACAGTTAAGCATAAGCTTTTCAAATTTTTAAATTTAACAGTGAGAAGTACTTAAATTAGTTCCTAAGTGATAATCAATGTTTTTAACGTATTAAGTTAACCAAATCAATGAACAGAGAAAGAAATGACTCTAGGAAAGACCCTAAATAACATAAAAAGCACCAAAACCTTTCAGCTGTTTTCATTAACCCTTTTCTTTCACAAAATGGATGTGTTTCCTGATTAAACTGGATTGAGTGCAGCCACAGCACTTTGCTAACAACCAAGAATCAGATTCATAGCAAGAACAGAGAAAATACAGCTCTAGCAGCTATGTAAACTCTGTTAAATGAACATCACACTGCTGCCAACCTGGTTAATCTTATTTATACCCTAATGTAAGAGGTCAATATTGGTGGTGGTGGAGGGGGGACCACTTCTTTCACAGAAACAAATGAATAGAAATGTCTGGATTTTGTGGTTTAAGTTCTGCCTGCAGGCAAAATCTGACTGGATAACTTCTTGGCTAAATGATGCTGGAGGAGAGCATAATATTGGCAGGTCAAACCACTGATATTCTCAAGGTGAGCTCTGTTGAGAGGCAAGAGTAAGCAAAAAAGAAAAAAAAATTACAAGATAATCTAACACAACAGCACTGACACAGAAAGGAACTAGAATCAAAAACCCAAGGATCTAGAAAACCACAGCCCCGCCTGTACTCTCAGCTGAGCAGGACGACTTCTCACATCAGGCTCACCACCTCGCAAGCCGACGCACTGACTAACCCTATTTCCTATAGAAAAGTCATCAAGATTAAAGGGTAATTAGTTATTATGAGGAAAACACAAGTACAGGTATCATCTCATTATACCCATGGTGGTTCTGAGGCAGCTGGTCAACTCTATTCCCAATCACACATCAGCTCTTGGCAACAACATTACGCAACTTCTCCTTAGTCCCTCTGACCCCTCCTCGCCTCAACCTCTAGATGTGGAAATCCCCAAGGTTTAGTCCTCAGCCGTCTCCATGCTCTTCTGCAGTTTTTGTTTGTTTGTTTTCTTTTTGTCCTATGGCTCAGCACAAGAAATTAGATTTTATATCTTTACTTTGACCTTTCCAGAGTTCAGGACTTCTATATCTACTTTCATGTGGATGTTTGGCAATCACCTCAAACTTCCCAGGTCCAAAACAGAACTCATGAATGCATCACACTCACACCTGTTTCTCTTCCAGCCTTCCCAAAACACCTGTTTCCATCACACCTCCAAACTCAACCCATTAACATAGTCTGCTTTACCTTCAAAATATATCCTATATTAGGCCATTTCTCACTACTTTCTTTTTTTTTTTTTTTTTTTTTTTTTTTGACAGGCAGAGTGGACAGTGAGAGAGAGATAGAGAGAAAAAGGTCTTCCTTCGCCGTTGGTTCACCCTCCAACGGCCGCCGCGGCCGGCGCGCTGTGGCCGGTACACCGCGCTGATCTGATGACAGGAGCCAGGAGCCAGGTGCTTTTCCTGGTCTCCCATGGGGTGCAGGGCCCAAGCACCTGGGCCATCCTCCACTGCACTCCCTGGCCACAGCAGAGAGCTGGCCTGGAAGAGGGGCAACCGGGACAGAATCCGGCGCCCCAACCGGGACTAGAACCCGGTGTGCCGGCGCCGCTAGGCGGAGGATTAGCCTAGTGAGCCGCGGCGCCGGCATCACTTCTCACTACTTTCACCACTAGACTTCTACAGTAACTTTCTTAGCTCATTCGTCCATTCTTCCTGCTTCCATTCTTATCCTCTAGGGTCAACAACAAAAAATCAAAACGTAAACCAGGTCATGTCACATCCCTGCCCACAATACTCTAGTAGTTTCCAAATGCAAGTCACATAAAATCCTAACACCTGAAATAGCATGGTATGTCCTCCCCATCCCAGTCTTATTTCCTATCACGCTCTGCCCTGATGACTGAGGACTGGCCACACTGGCCTTCTTGCTGTCCCCTGAACACATCAAATTCATTCCTGCCTTAGGGTCTTTTCACTTACTGCTCTCTCTGCTTGAATCACCAGCCCTGAGATCTTCACAAGTTACACTCCCAAATCTTACCCACATCTCTTACCAAATTCTCCAAAAGAACTTCCTGAGTACTCTAGACAAAATGCTCCCCCGCTATTGTCAGTCACCATGCTCTCCATCTCTTCCCCTACTTTATTACTGTCTATCATAAATCAGTATCTTACTTAACAAACATCTTCAGAACACAGATTCTCAACTGGGGACAACTCTGCACCTCGCCCAACCCCAATGTCTAGGTAAAAAGGAAGGGGAAGGGGGAGGGAGGCTTGTGGTTGGCATCTGATGGGTAGAGGCCAGAGATGTTGTCAATGTCTATAAGCACAGGACAGCCCCCACAATAAAGAAATATCCTGCACACAATGCCAATGATGAGTTACCCTAACCTAAAGCAATACAAAAAAACTCCCTGTTCTCATGGAGCTGATAAGCTACTATAAATCTTATGTTACATATTTATTGGTTACTTTCTCTCTCCTTACTTAACACTTTATCACTAACATTGGACAGAGAACCTGGAGCATAACATGAGTTCAACAAATATTCACTGCCCAAATGAATAAAAGAGGCTCATTCCACTCAAATGACAAATGTAGGCAGAACTCCTTAAAATATTCATCATTCCCCACCACCATATTAAACCAATATGCTTACAATTCAGAGCAAGAAGAAAATTCATCTTTGTATACCACAGTCTGGACCTGCACTTTTGCTCTTCTGGGCAATGATGACATCTGAAAGAAATGGAACAGGAAATCAACATGACTTGAATGGTCTCATCAATTTATTTGGCTACAAAATAATATACCATTCAAAACTAATATTCCAAGGGTAGGCACTGTGGCACACCAGGTTAAGCCCCCACTTGGGAATCCCACATCCCATATCAAGAGCAGTTTGAGTCCCAGAACCTCTGCTTCCAATCAGCGTCCTGCTAATACATACTGGAAGGCAGCAGATGACAGTTTAAGTGCTTGAGCCCCTACCACCAACATGGGACACCTAGATTGAATTCTGGGCTCCTGGCTTTGGCCTGATTCAACACTGGCTACTGCAGGTATTTGGGGATCAAACCAACAGACAGAACACCTCTTTATCACTGCGTGTTGCTCTGTTTTTCAAGTAAATGAAAATTCGAAAACAACACAACAACAACAATAGTTCTACAGCTAGAAATGCCGAATGGGAGGTCCTTCCCCGGCAAGGCAGAACATGAGGCCTATTCACAAGCCCAAACCCTGTACTTTCCTATGAAAGGAGCAGCAAAAAGCCTTTAAAAAGCTTCAAAAGCCTTATAGATATGGACCATCTCTTCAAACGATAAGCTCCAGGGTTGGCTTTGTGGTATAGTGAGTAAAGTTGTAGCTTGCAACGCTGGCAACCCATATGGGCACACGTTTGTGTCCTGACTGCTCCACTTCTAATCCAGCTCCCTGCTAATGGCCTAGGTAAAACAGCAGAAACTGACCCAAGTATTTGGGCCTCTGCCACCCACATGGGAGACCTGGAAGAAGCTCCTGTCTCCTGGATTTGGCCTAGCCCAGCCCTGGCCATTGCAGCCACCTGGGGAGTTAACCAGTGGATGGAAGATCTGTCTCTCTATTCATCCCTCTCCTTCTCTCTCTCTAACTCCTTCACATTAAATTAATAAATCTTTTTTTAAAAAAATTATAAGCTCCTATAGCATGAGAATTCTTAATTCCTTTAGACCTATACACTGGAGTATTCTTCAAGTGTTATTTGATAGTGATACGATCAGGTAGCAAATTATAAAGTCCTTTATTAAACTATATCTCAAAGACAAGAAATATTTTCCCCATTCTATATCTTCATGGTTTTAAAAAGATTTATTTACTTATTTGAAAGGCAGAGTTACAGAGAGGCAGAGGCAGAGAGACAGAACCATCTTCTGGTTCACTCCCCAAATGGCTCCATCAGCCAGAGCTTGGCCACTCTGAAGCCAGGAGCCAGGAGCTTCTTCCGGGTCTCCACGTGGGTGCAGGGACCCAAGCACTTGGTCCATCTTCCACTGTTTTCCCAGGCCATAGCAGAGAGTTGGATTGGAAATGGAGCAGCCAGGACTCGAACTGGCGCCCATATAGAATGCCAGCACTAGCAAGTGGCAGCTTTACCCACTATGCCACAGCACTGGCCCCTCTATATCTTCTTACAATATACAGTAAACACCTTGCTACAAAGTTGGCAAATAAATTATCCTAAATGACGGAATAAGCAATTCAGTTATTCCTAAAATAAGAAAACCCTTCCCTTGTAATAAGATTTCTTCATAATATTCAAATAAAATGATTAATTACCATGCCACTAAAAAGCACTTAACAAATTCAAAGGCTCAGATCTAAAAAATTTTTAGATAAATAGGCAGAGGAAGTAAAGGAGTTTACTTCAGGTGGTTAAGACTTATCATCTAAAGAATATGTGTAAAGGGGCTGGCACTGTAGCGTAGTGAGTAAAGCCAATGGCTGTGATGCCAGCACCCAATATGGGCACTGGTTCATGTCCTGGCTGCTATACTTCCATTCCAGCTCTCTGCTAATGACCTGGGAAAAACAGTGGAAGATGGCCCAAAAGCTAGGGTCCCTGCTACCCACGTGGGAGACCTGGAAAAAGCTCCTGACTTCTGGCTTTGGCCTGGCCCAGCCCCGGCTGTTGTGGCCATCTAGGGAGTATAAGGATGGAAGATCTTTCTGTCTCTCCCTCTCTCTAACTCTTCAAATAAATAAATCTTTAAAAAAAAAAAAAAGGAATATGTATAAAGCCATAAAAACTGCCTTAGACTCTGACATGTTTGGAACCCTTTAAACAAATTCTTAAACCAGTTGTATACTGTAATTCCTCTGGTTCTAACACCCACTCCAAGGAGGAAGTAGTGCCTCATAGAAACACTAAAAGAGCTGTCACCAAAGGGAGCTTGTTCTCCCAGCAGGCCTCGCTCAACTGCATCCAGGAAGCACAGAACCCCTGGGCAGAAGAGCGTTCGGAAGCTCCAAGGGAAAGCAGGCTCCAGCAAGCCGATGGGGTAACCCTGCACCATTCCCTTCATTCTCATCTTGGGATTTTCTGGTTATGTGTGTTATCCTCCTCCAAATGGGTACTTCTAGATACTGCTCACGGAGGAAAAGGCGACTGACTTCTGTTCATGTGTACTGTACCACAATGAACCAAAAACAGAGGAGGTTAGTGTATGACAGGCATAGCATTTCAAACTGGAGCAGGGCAAGAATGGATTATTCAAAACATAGTACTGAGACAACCAGCCATTCCTCTGGAGAAAAACTAATGTTCTATTTCCACACCATAAGCAAAAATATACTCTACAATGAGTAATGATTAAAAACATACAAAATAAAAGTATAGGGGTTGAACATGTGGCATAGTAGCAAAATTGATACTTATGACACCCACATCCCAAATCACAGTGCCTGGATTCGAGTCCCAGCGTGGCTCCCAATTCCAGCTTGCTTCTAACGCACACCCTGGGAGGCGGCAGGCAAAGGCTCATGTACTTGGATCCCTGCCAACCATGTGGGAGACCCAGACTGAGTTCCTGGCTCAGCCTGGCTCTTATAGGAAGAGAGATTTCTGCTGCTTTTTCTCCTTCCCTCCCTCCCTCCCTGTCTCTCTTTCCCTCTCAAACAAATAAAACTTAAAAAAAAAAAAAAAAACTATAAAAACCAAAGACAATTCTTCATAATCTTTTATGATTTATTTATTTATTTGAGAGGGAGAGTTACAGAAAGAGAGAGAGAAATATCTTTCATCTACTGGTTCACTCCCCCAAATTGCTGCACTGGCCAAGTCTGGGCCAGGCTGATGCCAGGAGCCCGGAATCGTATCCGGGTCTCCCACACGGGTGGCAAGAGTCCAAGTACTTGGGCCATCCTCCACTGCTTTCCCAGGCACATTAGCAGAGAGCTGGATAAGAAATGGAGCAGCTGAGCCATGAACCAGCACCCATATGGGATGCTGGCATGCAGGCAGCAGCTTATTCCACTGCACCACAATGCTGGCCTGATTCTTCATAATCTTAAATGGGGATGGGGGAATGGAGGTTTTCTAAACATTATTAAAGTCTTAAAACCGAGGAGATTAACGGTTCCCACCACATAAAGTTAAAATCCTAAGCCAGTAATAGGAGCATTAAGCCATTTACCCAGTAGTATCCTTAAAAAGCCACAGAAAGCAATAGCTGATACTGGGGAACTAAAGGTAAAGGGAACTGGGGCTGGGCATGAGCTGTCTGACAAGGGAGCATCTCTAGGTACCCCACCCCTCTTCATGCTGCTAGCCATCTGCCCAGAAAACATCCTCAACCTTTATTCCCCAGAGAAGGTAAAATTGAGCCTCTGAACAACAGGACAGTAACTATAACCATAGGCATGGGAACCACACCAGCTGCACGCCAAACACAGAGACCTGCAGTCCTCTTTACCCACTAAGCTCCTAAAATGCTACAAGTCAGACCCTTGCCCTCTAGAACAAGGGTGGGGAACCTCTTCCCTGTCAAGGGCCATTTGGATATTTATAACCTCATTCACGGGCCAACAAGATCAACTTAAAAATTAGCCTGCTATATATTTATTGAAATTCCAGTCCTACTGGTGGTTGCCTTGGCAGGACCAGAGCAAATAATTTCAGTTCAGAGGCTTTACACAGTCCACTGGCCAAACATTCCCCACTGCTGCTCTGGAAGGAGGTTTTTCTTTGGAGAATCTCACCAATCCAGTTAGAAAACTAAAGGTGTTAGCTCCCCATCAAACAACAACCCAGATCCCCTTGTAACTAATCTCATTATACATTTTATTGCTGATTTCAGGGATCCGCAGTCAAATGTTAACTGGAAAATTCCAGAAAGGAATGATTCACAAATTTATAATCATGCACCATTCAGAGCAGAGTAATGAAATCCTCCACTGGGCCACCCTATCCCATCCAAGACATGGATCATCATCCCTTTGTCCAGCGTATTTGTCCAGGTGTTTATGCCACCTCCTCTTTCATCTTTCACAAGCCCATCATGGCTACCAGATTGAAGGTCATGGGATCATAGTAGCTGTGTTCAATAATATTTGTTTCACTTAATAATGGCTCTGAAGCTCAAGGGTAGTGATGCTGGCAAATTACATATGCTAAAGAAAAGCCATATAAAGTGATTCCTTTAAACAAAAAGGTGGAGGTTTTCAACAAGAAAAGAAAAAAAAACCATATGCTGAGGCTGCTAAAAATCTACTTTTGAAACACCATTCACATAACCTTTATTACAGGATATATCATTACGGTTGTTCTATTTTAGTGATTGCTGTTACTCACTCACTATGTCTAATTCATAAATTAAAATTTAGTGGAGGCATGTATGTGTATGGAGTGGGAAATATAATTTATATAGGCCCCAGTACTATTCATGGCTTCAGGCATCCATTGGTAGTCTTAGAATATATCTCCTGCAGATAGAAGGGGACTACTGTGCCTGAATTCAACATATTCCTACACAAACTACTGTATACTAATTCCATCTCCACACTTCAGCCCTAACAGAAATAATCTCATCCACTTCTGTGACTCACCTAAATCATCTTTTAACAATCCTAATCTCTCCATCCCACACCTTGCCTTCAAGATTCACATTTACATAACAAACTGCCTGCCTCTGAAACTATTTAGTTACCTAAAATGTAACACATCCACAATAGCACTCCAGATAACCAGTTCTTGTCACAGAATCCAATCCTACCCTAGTCTTTCTCTTCTCCATAAATGGCACCACCATCCACCTATTTGCTAAGCAGAACACTGGAAATTCTTTTAACAGCTTTGTTAGGTATAATTGACAGATAATACACTATATGTGTTTAAAATGTACAAATGTGGTAAGTTCTGACGTACGCACACACATCACCACAGTCAAGATAATGAATACATCCATCACCCTCTACAGTGCCATTTGTTACACCAAAACATTGCAATCCTGTTTTCCCACATCCAGTCTATTAGTAAGTCACATAAATTCTTCCTCCAAACTGTCTGAAATCTCTATGATCTCCATGGATCAGTAACACTTGTCTAAAGACACATTCTGCTTGCTATAACAGAATACCAGACTGAGTAATGTATAGAGAAATCTATTTCTTACAGTTCTGGTGGCTAGGAAGCCCAAGACTGATGGTCCTCAAGGGCCTTCTTGCTATATTAACCCATGATGAAAGGTGTCACGTGACAAGAAAGAGGGTATTTGTGACGTCAAGTCTCTCCCCCTCAACTTATACAGCCACTAACCCCATCCTAGGGGCCCTACCTCATGACCTCATCTAACTCTGTAACTACCTTCCAAATGCCTCATTTCCAAAGATCAACAATGCATGAATTTGGGGATTAAGTTTCCAACACAGGAACTCTGGGGGAACACATTCAAAGCACAGCAGGCCCCCTTCTCTCACCTGGATCACTCCAACGGCCTCTTCACTGCCCTCCCTACTTTCCCTCTTGCCCTTGCAACCCATGCACCACATATCAATCCACTCGCTACATATCAACCCAAGAGACCATTTAGAAAATGCTTAAAAAAAATTTCAGGGACTTCCCATACCACCCTTCATTTAGAATCAAATCATATTTTTTACCACAGCCTTCTAAAATGCCCTGCGGGACTGATGCTTGCCTCTCTAAATCACATTTAGCATTTGCTATTCCTGTAACAAGCAAGACTATTTCCCATCTCAGATTCACTCTGCCACGAGTACGCTTCCCCCTGCTCATCAATTGGCTGGTTTCTTCTTTTCTTTTAGAGCTCAACATTTTCAATCATAAAATGGGCTTCTCAGTTACACTTAAAAAGAACCCTACTTACTGTGCCCAGTAATGTGGCACCTGGGACATCAGTATCCCCTATCAGAGCACCAGTTGAAATGCAGCTGCTCCGCTTCAGATCCAGCTTCCTGCTAATGCACCTGGGAAGGCAGTATAAGATGGCCCAAGTCCCTACATCCAAGGAGGATGGAGTTCCCGGCCCCTGGCTTCCACATGGCACAGACCTGGCTACTGTGGTCATTTGGGGAGTTAACCAGTAGATAGAAGATATGTCTCCATCTCTCTTTCTCTGTTACTCTGACTTTCAAATAAATAAGTAAATAATTTTTAAAAACAGGATCCACTTATTTCCTCTATACAGCAGTAAATAACGTAACTATTATTCTTTTATTAAATCCCTCTCTGGGCAGTAAACACTATTTAGAAATATTTGCCTTATTTACTACACCTAATCACACAGAGCCTGGCACTTTATAACTGTGCTATAACTACTTACTAAATGAACATAATATATATAAATGGTCATTATAGAGAAAAACACATTCACTTTGCATCATTACTAAGCAACACTACAAGCAGTGCTCATTGCCTTCTTGAAAAAGTGACAGCACATAACAACATCGCTACTCTTTAGCGACTTGGGATTTTCCCTTCCTCCAGGCTATCATTATTATCATGGACCCAGGGGTCCATGAGCAGAGCCCGAATCAATCATTTAGAGGTCGCCCTGATGTGACTAATGTCGGGAAAGTGAAATTCGGAGTGCAAGGACCTACATTCACATATATTCAAGTTGGACAAACGATAATTTAAAAATTCAAGGAGAGCGAAGGGGAACAACTTTTTCCTCTTCTAAAGAAGCCACAGAAGGGCTTGGAATGGGAGCACAGATATCTAAGTCATAAAAACAAAATACCAGAGAGCTACAGCCTCGGAGATCAGATAGTCCTGCTGTATTACTTTATGAATGAGAAGCCTGAGACCCAACGGAGTGAAACGGTTCACTCAAAGTTAAGACACATGGCAAAGGACTAGAACCTAGAGCCCAGACACCACGAGGAGACTGTCCCCATGGCACACACGTGACATTAATGACACACGTCGCGGGGGAGGGTGCAGGCAAGCTGCCAGGAGAGTTTCCATTCCTTGCTCTGCTCGACAGAAACTCAGCGCCTCCTAGATTCCCAACATACTGCTCAAGAAGCAGATGATTCAGACAGGGCCATGACCTGAGGGTGAAAAGGCTGCTGTCTCCCCCGTTCCGGGCCATCTGTGATATTAAAAACCACAATCTAAGTCTGCCCGGGCTTTGCCGCGCCTGCCCCTACGCGCTAAGAGCTGCTGCAATTTGACATAAGAGCCAGGTGACACGCGGCAGCTAGGACGATTTTCCGGGTGTAGGTTGTGAGTCAGGAGTACAGACCGCTGACAATAAAATGGAATGAGGCTTCTCACTTTTAAAGAGGGGTGTTAGTCCCCAAATGAGCGCTCGAACTTTTTAAGTGGCCCCAAAAACACCGGGGCCCGGGCGCCAGGCTCGTACGAGCCCGCAGGACGACCGCCAAGGCGGACGCACAGCTCACCTTCCCGCCCGGCGTGTCGGAAGACCGGGAGTCGGCGTATCACGGCACCTTCCGGTTCCCGCCGGAAGTTTTTCAAACGCCGGAAGTCCCGCCTCACTTCTTCCGGACCGGGTTAACAATAACCTCCCGAGGCGCCGCGCTCCCGGAGCGGGGCGGAGCCGAACGGGACGCAGGCGGAGCTGGAGGGGATAATCAGTCGGAGCGCGGGAGTGAGCCCTTCTCGGGGGGCGGGCGGAGCTCCGTTTTTCTGGATCCGGGAGGAGGTGGAGCGGCGCTATTGGACTCGCGGATCCTCCTATTTTTTTTCTCTTCTTTCAATCGAAGATGTTTCTTTTCACTGAACTGCTTATTTGCAGGAGAAAAATGAAAAACAGTTCGGCTTTATTGTGACATAGGGTGTGCCTGGAGTATTTTATTTCCTAAGCCCTCAAATAAGGGTTTTGCCCCAGTCTTATGGCAAGTTCCCAGTCTTGCGTAGACCCTCTGCCGTAAGGAAGGACTTCAGTCGTAAAGTCATCACTGCCTTGGTTGGATCTCTCAGGCCGCTTGGTGCACTGCCAAGTCCACTGATTTGAAAAATGTGGTTCTGTCAGGGACTTCCTAGAATTGGGCAAATCGCTTTATGTCTTTGGACCTGTTTGTGTCCACTGCCTCCCCCCGCCCCCCCGGTCCCACCTCTTACCTGTTAAGATATCTGGCACATATGTTAGGGGTAAATACTGAATTAATTTTTAAAAACATTGATTTGTTTATTTGAGAGGTAGAGCTGATGGCACTGCAGACGGCTCTACCCACTATGCCTGAGAGCCAACCCCAACACTGAATAATTTACTTGAGACAGTGGCAAGTCCTGCAACCAAGAGTGTAGAATTTAAGCAAATGGGGAGCTTAGGGTTGAGGGGTGCCACCCTATAAGGGGAGCAGAGAATCTGAACTTTCTTGAGCTTGTTTTTCATAGGAGGGCTTATCTTGGCAACAGTGCACTAAGAGGGGACAGATCACCACAAAAAAGGAGGAGTTAAAGCTGCAAGGAACCAGTTTGAGTCAGATCTTCACCACCAAAGCTGAACTTTCCTCATTAAAACACTAAATTCTCCACCTAGGAAAAGGGATTGCCTTCATGAAGAAGCATGAAGATTTTTGTCACTTGCATGTTAGGAGCAGGGGGACCTTTCTGCTCTTTCACCCTATCTTAGGAGCTCCTGTAACTTTTGCTATAAAAGTCCTGGTACACTGCACTTCTGCCAGGCAATTTCTTCAGGGAACTCTGCCTTCTACTGTCTCCTTTCTTTTCACAAGTAAATAAAGCTTTCCTTTGAGCAGCTCCCGCTTGAGGCTGATTGTTTGGCAAGACTTCAAGCCAACAGACCCCCTTGTGTCTACTTAACAGTCCCAGTAACCTGTCCTTCTTCGGCAAGAATGGAAAAACTACCCCACCTCATTGTCAGATTCTTGGAAAGTTTTGTGACTTAAGTCCTGGAAATGTAGTATCCTAGGTAGGCCTTTCTGCAGATCCAACATTGTCATTGCCTTCTCACAAAGTAGCTCCTGCTTTTTATTTCAATCAGGCCTAACCCTGGTCTTAACCGCACTAGGATTCCCAGAGCTCCTCCTCTTCTTCTTCTTCTTCTTTTTTTTTTTTTTGATTAAACCAACATAAAAACTATAAAGGGGGCAGGTATTGCAGTATAACAGGTTAAGCTAGCCATTGGAATGCCTGCATCTCATGTCAGACTGCCCACTAGAATACTGGCTACTCAGTGCTTCTGACCCAGCTTCCTGCTAATGTTCCTGAGAGGCTGCAGATGGTGACCCAAGTAGTTGGGTTCCTGCCATCCACGTGGAGATCTGGATGGAGTTCCTGACTCCTGATTTTGGCCTGGCCCAGCCTTGACTTTGTGAGCATTTAGGGAGTGAACCAGTGGATGGAAGGTATTGCCCGCCCCCCCCCACACACACACACCTCTCTCCCTCTCTCTGTGTCACTCTGCCTTTTAAATAAAAATATAATTTTAAAAACTAGAAAAGGCCTTCTCAGCAATTCTTTCACTGTTTACGTTAAATGCACATATTCAAAATCAGTTCCCAGTAGAAAGGAAAAAATGGCTGTTTTTAATGTTGTCTTTTTTACCAAGAAAACTAAACTCTAAGCTCATAGAAGCAGCCAATGACATTAGATTGTGAAATCAGGGAGGAAAGGCTGTTGTTAGTCTAGATTAGACCTTAGCAGACCAAAGCCCCATGGCTTTATTTCAGAAGATTCTAAAGAGCAGCTTTCCAATGCTGATGACTCACTTCCATGGACTCTCAGAACTGAAGAGCTTACAAGGTATTGAAATGACCTAGGAGTGGACATTGCTTACAGATCCACTCAAAGTCAGCGTAGATTTTATTGGATGATTTTTGTGATGGAAAGAATAACATGACTCTTCTGAGTAAATAAGTGTAATCCTCTGTATCTGAGATCATTGGTCATGAATGAGATTTTTTTCTTTTTTCCTAGTTTACACAGCCTTGTGCTGCCTTTTGCGATGGTTCCAGAAGACCTAAAACTATCTGCTACGATCACAGTCTGCTCCATGGTTTATAATACTGAATGGATAATAAAGAACACATTATAGTCCAAGATTATGGGAGTAGAAACCAGATCATAAAAACCAACAAGAATAATTTGTTATTTACTATTCACCTACGTTTGGTATTGCATTAAACAGATTTAAGGTGAGGGTTTTAAAGGTCAGGGTGAACTAATATTCAACAAAGTGTTTTTAAATATTCATGTTCTGAAAGAATTTACAAATAAAGACTGAGATCCTCTAGATACAAACATAAAAGATAGAGACCAAGCAAGAGCAGATTCAAGGGTTGGGTGATGCAGTTAATAGCCACACTACACAGTGAGCAGGAGACTAGGAGTTGCTGGTATGTTGGCCTTTGAGTCTTCTCTCCCTCATCATGGATATTTGTCTTTCACCAAGGGAAGAAACAAACTTTCTAAGCTAAACTAAATAACCTAGTAAGATTTTATACATCAGACATCTGGAAAAAATAAAATCTGGAGTAGAGTTTCCTAAAAGTAAAATATATAGGTGAAGGCCTACCCCAAAGACAAGTTAAGACTGTCCAAAGAACATTTTCTTTGGAATGTTTGTAGGAGAGCCTCTCCCGCTACAAGCTGTCTAGGGAAATTTACAATCTCTAAAGTATAAACCAGTAAAACTGCCTGTTCTGTCTCAGACCCTGCCCAATATGTTGTTTACCGTTGGATTTCCAAAGCTGAATCCCAAGGAATTCATGGATCTAAACCCTGGAATAAACCGGATGGCCACCTGAGACTATGCAATAGAGTTTGGGAGTAATAAAAAAAAAAATGCTTTGGAGTTCTTAGAGGTTATTTATTTTATCACTCCAAAGCACATAGCTCTTTCTGTATCCCCTGATAGAATGTAATAATAGTAACAACTTACCTTAGTTGAGCACCTAACCTGTGCCAGGAACTAAGTCAATGCTTTTACGTGTATTTTTGTATTTAATTCAGGTACCAGTCCAATGAGATTGCTATTATCCCCATTTTATTTTATTAAGATTTTATTTATTTATTTGAGAGGTAGAGTTACAGAGTAGAGGGACACTAGAGAAAGGTCTACCATACACTGGTTCACTCCCCAAATGGCCACAACAGCTGGAGCTGAGCTGATCTGAAGCCAGGAGCCAGGAGCTTCTTCCAGGTCTCCCACGTGGGTTCAGGGGCCCAAGGACTTGGGCCATCCGCTACTGCTTTCTCAGGCCATAGCTGAGAGCTGGATCGGAAGAGGAACAGCTGGGACTTGAACTAGCACCCATTTGGGATGCGGCGCCACAGGTGGAGGCTTAGCCCGCTACGCCACAGCACCAGCCCCAATTATCCCCAATTTAATAAATGAGAGAAAATGAAGCATGGAAAAGTTAAATAATTATCCCAAGGTTACAACAGCTAATAAATTGCAGATCTGGAACTCAAACCCAGTAACCTGGCTTACTACAAGTTAGAAATTTTAAAAATATCTGTATACCATGAACTTAAAGCAAAGATCTTCAGTTTCTCTGCTATGATGGCCAGTGAAAAACTGAATCCTGGACATGTTCAGGGAATATGCAGTTATGAAGTCCAAGCATAGAATAAAAGGGTGTTCCAGTTTTATGGACTCTGAAACTTGTGAACAGCTCACCAGTTTCTCAGGCCTTTGGTCTTGGGCTGAGCTTTTCTGATTCTGAGACTTTCAGACTTGGACTGAGCCAAGCCTCCAGCTTCCCTTGTCCTCCAGCTTAGAAATGGCCTTTTGGCAGACTTAGCCTCTGTAATTCCCCTAATAGCCTCCCTTCTATCTGTCTATCTCTATCTCCTGTTGGTTGTTTCTGTGGAAAACCCTGAGTAATAATACACTCAGCAAAGGTGGCAGCCTCTTTTTTTAAGAGTCTAATGTTCTACCAACCAAGCTAGCCGGGCCTTGTAGGGAGCGCAGAGGCAGAGCCTTTGTAAAGATTAGAGAATATACAAACTGAGACAGCCCTTGTTCATTAATCTGCGTGTTAGCTCTTGTCCATCCTTTTTTCCCACTATCAAAAGCTCATTCCTGAGCCGGCGCCGTGGCTCAATAGGCTAATCCTCCACCTTGCGGCGCCGGCACACCGGGTTCTAGTCCCGGTTGGGGCGCTGGATTCTGTCCCGGTTGCCCCTCTCCCAGGCCAGCTCTCTGCTATGGCCAGGGAGTGCAGTGGAGGATGGCCCAGGTGCTTGGGCCCTGCACCCCATGGGAGACCAGGAAAAGCACCTGGCTCCTGGCTCCTGCCAGGATCAGCGCGGTGCGCCGGCTGCAGCGGCGGCCATTGGAGGGTGAACCAACGGCAAAGGAAGACCTTTCTCTCTGTCTCTCTCTCTCACTGTCCACTCTGCCTGTCTAAGAAAATAAAAGAAGAAAGTATAGAGAGATAAAAACGATATGCGCTCATTCCTAAACACTAAAACTGATGGATGTAATGAGCTTCTCTGAATAATTTAGGCAGGAATGTACAGATTTCCTGCAAA